TACACACACACACACACACACACACACACACACACAGGTACTTACTGATGCACTGGCTTTAACAGAAGATGAGATGGTTTCTCATTGACATGGTAGAGTGGGAATGGGTCAAATCCACCAATAAAATCAACTGAAAACCAAACAAAAAATGAAATTAAAGAATGAAAGAAATGAAACAGGATAATGAGCCATGAAGAGAACAAATGAAACATGAAATGATAATCACTAGATGTAAAAACCACTAACAGACATAATGCATGACAGATATATGAATAATGTGAACACTGGAATATCGACTATGACACTTTACATTACACAAATCCGACATAATTATAAACAATGAACAGTGTCTACATGTGAGATGTGATATAATATAGCACATAGACAAATTCCTCTCAGTTTGACTGAAGTTCAAGTACATGAACAAGTTTTTTTCTCTGTATCTGTACAAAGGTCTATTCGATTTTATTTTACTCTCTTTGTGAATATGAATAATGTGAACACTGGAATATCGACTATGACACTTTACATTACACAAATCCGACATAATTATAAACAATGAACAGTGTCTACATGTGAGATGTGATATAATATAGCACATAGACAAATTCCTCTGTTTGACTGAAGTTCAAGTACATGAACAAGTTTTTTTCTCTGTATCTGTACAAAGGTCTATTCGATTTTATTTTACTCTCTTTGTGTCTCACACACACACACACACACACACACACACACACACACACACACACACAGATACAGACAGAGGAATGAATAACAGGTTTCTGAATGAGTGGTTTTTATGATCAGATGTCTGGCCTCATTCAGCCCAGTGTGATAGACTCCACACCGAGAATACAGACACACACTCTCATTCCTAAATAATATACACAGAAAAAAAGAGGGAGACTGTCCCCACGTCCCAATTCCAATACCACCTATTTTAAATATAAATAAGCATCTGAGATTAGAATGAGCCCCAAAGCAAAGTATGCTGACAATAGTGAGCCAAATTTGAATGATAAAAAAACGCCTAGTAAATAAAATAAAATACCAAAATCTTGAATAAAAGCAGCATAAATGTGCCCAAATCGTGTAGGATTTCTGCTAGGAGTTTTGAAATATGCATCAACCCATTGCACGATGAAGTTTGTGAGTTAAAATCTGTGTAAATCAATATTAAATATGTGTTCCGAGTTTGTTACACCACAGAAAAAAATGTGTTATTAACCACCCAGCCAAATTTGAATGATTAAAAAAACGCCTAGTAAATAAAATAAAATACCAAAATCTTGAATAAAAGCAGCATTCTGTAAATAAGTAAATAAGCAGTAAAAATCCTGAACACAAAAATGGTGAAAAACTCCACAATTCAGTGCTACATAGTTCAGTCTTTGTAACTTGTTTTCAGCAATTCATTGCTAACATGTATAATGTGTTTAGAAACAATTCTCTGAATTGCCTACACAGACTGTAAAGAGATAGTTTACTCATAAATTACAATTGTCATCTTTTATTCACCTTTATTCATTCTGATCTCATATCACTTACTTACTTTCTACTTTTTGTGAACACAAATGAGCATTCTTGTCCATACAAAGAAATGTATATTAAAAAATGAAGGTAATGACTTTAGCAAGATGCTAATAAGATTACTCAGTTATCAAAGGCACTTGGAGCACATATTTTAGTGTATACTTGCATAGCAAGTGAATTGGGATATGCTGCAAGTAAACTTTTAGCTGTGGAAGCACAAACAAACCTTTCTGTCAATCCATAAAACCGCATCAGACGGCAATCTCAGGAGCAATTTCACCTCCATGTTTACACACATTAAACGTACAGCAGGCCTGAAAATAGCAGGGCTGGTTTGTTTATCACAAACGACAGGCTTCAAGCTCATAATGTGTCATTAGCGTTTGCAGGATCCGTGGAGCAGTGCTGCTATGTGTGGAATGCTCACAAATTCACACAAACTTCATCAGATCATCACTTACACTCATGTCATTCCAACCCCATAAGACTTTGGTTAATCTCCGAAACACAAATTAAGATGTATATTTTATGAATCCTGAGAGGTTTCTGTACCAAGTCCAGGTAAACAAAACTCAGAAGATCCAAAAAGGTCATAAATATGTCATAATTAAAATCCATGTCTTGTGAAGAGACACAATCATTTATTATGAACAGATTTAATTTAGACTTATTTACATCTAAACCATGACTGACACGCATACATACAGTGAATCACATATGTGACCCTGGAGCACAAAAGCAGTCTTAAGTCGCTGGGGTATATTTGTAGCAATAGCCAAAAATACATTGTATGGGTCAAAATGATAGATTTTTTTTTTATGCCAAAAATCATTAGAATATTAAGTAAAGATCATGTTCCATGAAGATATTTTGTAAATTTCCTGCTGTAAATATATTAAAACTTAATTTTTGATTAGTAATATGCATTGCTAAGAATTCATTTGGACAACTTTAAAGGTGATTTTCTCAATATGTAGATTTTTTTGCACCCTCAGATTCCAGATTTTCAAATAGTTGTATCTCGACCAAATATTGCCCTATCCTAACAAACCATACATCAATGGAAATTTGTTCAGCTTTCAGATGATGCATAAATCTCAATTTCGGAAAAATTTACCCTTATGACTGGTTTTGTGGTCCAGGGTCACATATGGTATACATGAAAGCTCAAATGGATCTTCAAAGTTGTATGGGTTTGGAACAACACTAGGGGTTAGAAACTGATGACAGAAGTTTCATTTTTGGGTGAACTATCCCTTTAAGCAAGTGTTACAGTATGAAACACACACTTCTAGAGCAAACAACCACTCATCTCTGAGATTTTGCTCATCCACATTGTACATGCCACTTTCAGCATCAGCCCAGAACACTTAAAACATTCATTAAAAATTACTTAATAAATATCAACTTCAACACTACCAAAAATTTATAGTAGAATTAAATTAAGCTATGAACATAGTGGCAATGTCATCACGGCTCATTGTTACAGAAGAGGAAATGTCAGTAAAGAGTGATGTATTTTTTTTAAACTTGTGTGATATGATTAACTAGGCCTATATTGACTAAAAGACTTCTTTTCATGTGCAGACCGTTTCTATGGAGGAAAACGTGCAATATAGACAAGTGAATCTGAAGCGAGAGGAGGTGGAGGACTGTAGTACACCTGTTCAGAAGAAGTTACCCACTAGAGCGCAATTCATTTTCAAAAAGAGAGGTGGGTGGAAAGAATAGCAGTCACAATGTTGTGAAAATGCCTCAGCTGAGTGAGAGAAGTTGAGTGCATGTCTCAATGTAAGCAGATCTGAGAGCCCCAGAGAACGCTCTCGCCATATTCAGCTGCCTATATTGTCCAGGAATATTAAATATTTTCATGTTACGTTATGGCCAATAATTGCTAAATGATATTAAAATGTATACTATTTAAACTAGTTTGCATAAAGAGTACTACATTTGAATTTAGGCATCACAAGATTATAATGTACACTATGAAAAATGTAAATTATGTGCTTAAGATTACATTAAAGATTAACAAACTGGGTGGGGGAAAAAACAGCAGATGAGCCAATATCGACCAATAATTAAAAAATATGCAATGCCATTAAAAAATTTGGGAGCAGTAAGATAATGTTTTAGAAAGAAGTATTTTATGTAAAAAAAAAAAAAAAGAATATATATATATATATATATATAGATATATATATATATAATAAAATAAATAATAAAAAATACATACAGCAAAAACTGAAATATTGTGAAATATGATTACAAACTGCTTTCTATTTGAATATATTTTAAAATGTAATTTAGTCTTGTGATGCTAATATTTTCAGCACCATTACTCCAGTCTTCAGTGTCACATGATCCTTCAGAAATCATTCTAATATGCAGATACTGTAGTATATCAGGCAATATTATATAAAAATAGAATTTCGGTCAATAACCGATATAGTACTGAAATATTCACCAATGAACAGAACCTAGTGAACAAACTGTAGTACGTCCATCCCTCACGGCCGTTGTTCATTCACATTCAATTAAATATGGCATCTACTCTGACTTAGGTCCACTGAAAAATATTTTTTTAGGTTAGGGTTAGTCTGAGGTAATTTGAATCATCTTTATATAAGAACAACAGACGTCTATAGTATATAGTATAGTGTATAACAGGAGTCTAAACTGTCAGCTTGGCATTGCATCACAGGTAGAGATCACATAGAGCTCACGCAATAAAACGTCTCGAGCTCACATTAAAAATTCTCTGACTTTATACAGTGTGTGTGTATGTGTGTCTGTCTCTCTGATACCCCTGTCTCTCTCCTCTGCTTTTACCTGTCTCTCCCTGCATAGTGTAAGTCACATACATTTGGGAAGTGCTCAAGCTAACATTCAGCTCTACACTATTTTGACCCACTTTCATAAAAGCAGCTCTTTTTTTTCAGTCTGCATAGGAATCTGCTCAGCACTGATAACCAACCAGACACTCGGGGTCCCATACACATTCTCTCTCTCTCCCGTTCCAGCTCTGATGTGAAGCCAGGTTTGCATTTTTTTTAGTAAAGACAGGTCTGAAAGAGAATCCGGGCTTAGATCAGTACTCAAGAGCCCACACGTCCCTGGAGCTGGTGGTTTGGCCAGTCTGTCCGCTGTGATTAGATTAGATTCACACCGCAGCGAAGTGACTGCTGCTGCTTTTAATGAGCCAGCAATATCAGTAGGACTGCGACTACAAACTAATTATGGATGCAGGTCATTTAAAACAAAGAAAGAGCCAGAGAGATGAGAAGGAAGGGCGGACAAGGCAGAAGAAGGACCCATGGATAAAAATGAAGCCTGACACATTATTATTCAAATCACCTGTAGAGAGAGAGAGAGAGTGAGAGAGCCAGACAGAGAGGGGGAAACTTCAGAGGCGAGGAAGAGCAGTGGAGAAATTAAATCCTCCACTTCAAATGAGCGTGTAAATGAACCACACACAGCTTTGCATGATAGAAAATAGACCCACTGGGCTGCTTACACACACACATATCTGTGCGTCCAACGGCAATGTAGCACGTGGAAAGGAAAAAGTGCTTTAGCCTACAAATTCAAACTTACCCACAACCACAAGTCAACAATCATCTCCTTAATACCTAAAATACATATTTCCGGGGGAGCACAGTATCTGAGGTGAAGTTGGCTCTTTAACAGAATGTAATAGAGGTCCATGAAAGACCATATGAAATGGTTTGATGGGCAGTTTTTTGAAACATTACATATTTTTTCTATACCCAAAAGTCTGCAATTTACATCACAGATCTGCAAAACCACACGTCATGGTAATTGAACATTTTAATACAGCTCAGTCTAGTTCGTTTGAGTGTAAAGTTGCTATTCAACATGCTAAATAATGCGACAAAAAAGCAACGTTTTGTCATGCTACATGCTAATGGTTAGAAAACGTAGCCCAATAATCAACCTAATATTTCAACATTAAAGCATGTATTTTTCTGTAAATGTGAGATACTTAATTCATTTGCCACTATAGGTAATTAACTAGAAAAATGATAAAGTGCAGTAAACGGTAAAAATATTTGCACTACAAACCAGTGTGTTTAGGATTACGATAATACATTAAATATAAAAAAATACCAGTCTGCAAAATCAAGCAGCATAACAAACTATTTTTGTACAGCTATAATTTGGAAACTTGTACACTTGTACACAAGTTAAAAATGGCTGCACCCACACTTATGTTAAAAATAAGGTGGATAAATCTACTGCTGTATGAATCTCTCTCATATGAAGGTGGACAAATCTACTGTTATGCTAAGTACTGAAAATGTAGCTAAATTTCCAAATTTTCATTAGCACAACTATGATTTGCTACTTGCTATTGCTGATCAGTTGAAGGGTGCTGTCATTCTAGAAAGCATTTAATTGGACAAAAATTAGACCGTGTCTGTATATATCTTCAGTTCAGAAGAGAAAGATTGCAATTTTTCAAATGCTTCAGTGTGCTAAAAGTTTATTTTGCGAACTTTTAGAAGTGAACTAGCACACAGATATACTTAAAACTAACAGGCATGAAAGCCACCAAACGGACATTTTGATTTCATGCACTCTTTAAATCTCCTGGGCTATAAAGCAACCTCGAAGTAATAAAACTTTCCTTGGCGTACTTATAATCACTTTGATGTTGGTAAATTTGTACAGAGCATACATATACTGTAGAGCTGAGCACATGTACACTATAAAATACACCTGAGCACATGTACAATATAAAATACAAACAGACAGAGCGCCTGTTCTCCGTGACTGATGATGCTCAAAGGTCATCAGAAAACAAAAGTAAACAAGAATACAAAGTAAAGGATAAAAGATAAAAGCTGACCAATTCTCTGCAATCTAATCCTTCCTATCCATGAGGTACAGTCCACCAGGGAACGTTCAGAGCGGGTAAATGAAAGAACAGTATTACCTACTTTTTTGAAAGAGGGGAAAACATTAGCAGTCAGCAGAGGGATTCTATGTTTGACCCATACAAACATGGCAGTGGCTTATCTCATCCCCTGGGCTTCACTCTGGTCCTCTCCCACTTAGTGAGGCTGTTGAAGTCTATTTTGCTGGGAGCAAATAATTGCTGTGTATATGCACTGTGAACAATATTTTTAAACTGAAGTGAATTCCTACAGACCTATGAAAATAATATTAATAATAAACGTTATTTTCTATAGCGCCTTTAAAAAGTAGCATCTCAAAGCGCTTCATAAGAATAAGATTAAATAAAACATACAATTATACAAAAAATGCATTAAAAGGGTCATATGATGCGATTTCAAGTTTCCCTTTCTCTTTGGAGTGTTACAAGCTGTTCGTGCATAGATAAGATCCCTGAAGTTGCAAAGACTAAAGTCTCAAACCCAAAGAGATATTCGTTTTTTTGTTATTTGTTTTACTAGTGTTCATTTTTAGTTGGAAACCGCAGTGAACTCATGTATTGTTATGTCTTTGCAGTTTTGAAAAAATATAAGTAAAGACACGTTTTTCCAACAAGTATTCGTTGCAAACATGTGCTTACAAATCTAAATTCTATTTCATACAGGTGCATCTCAATAAATTAGAATGTCGTGGAAAAGTTCATTTATTTCAGTAATTCAACTCAAATTGTGAAACTCGTGTATTAAATTAATTCAATGCACACTGACTGAAGTAGTTTAAGTCTTTGGTTCTTTTAATTGAGATGATTTTGGCTCACATTTAACAAAAACCCACCAATTCACTATCTCAACAAAGTAGAATATGGTGACATGCCAATCAGCTAATCAACTCAAAACACCTGCAAAGGTTTCCTGAGCCTTCAAAATGGTCTCTCAGTTTGGTTCACTAGGCTACACAATCATGGGGAAGACTGCTGATCTGACAGTTGTCCAGAAGAAAATCACTGACACCCTTCACAAGGAGGGTAAGCCACAAACATTCATTGCCAAAGAAGCTGGCTGTTCACAGAGTGCTGTATCCAAGCATGTTAACAGAAAGTTGAGTGGAAGGAAAAAGTGTGGAAGAAAAAGATGCACAACCAACCGAGAGAACCGCAGCCTTATGAGGATTGTTAAGCAAAATTGATTCAAGAATTTGAGTGAACTTCACAAGGAATGGACTGAGGCTGGGGTCAAGGCATCAAGAGCCACCACACACAGACGTGACAAGGAATTTGGCTACAGTTGTCGTATTCCTCTTGTTAAGCCACTCCTTGAACCAGTGTTAAGTTTCCACAGTCTGTGATGATTTGGGGTCCAATGTCATCTGCTGGTGTTGGTCCATTGTGTTTTTTGAAAACCAACGTCACTTCACCCTTTTACCAAGAAATTTAGGAGCACTTCATGCTTCCTTCTGCTGACCAGCTTTTTGAAGATGCTGATTTCATTTTTCAGCAGGATTTGGCACCTGCCCACACTGCCAAAAGCACCAAAAGTTGGTTAAATGACCATGGTGTTGGTGTGCTTGACTGGCCAGCAAACTCACCAGACCTGAAGCCCATAGAGAATCTATGGGGTATTGTCAAGAGGAAAATGAGAAACAAGAGACTAAAAAATGCAGATGAGCTGAAGGCCACTGTCAAAGAAACCTGGGCTTCCATACCACCTCAGCAGCGCCACAAACTGATCACCTCCATGCCACGCCGAATTGAGGCAGTAATTAAAGCAAAAGGAGCCCCTACCAAGTATTGAGTACATGTACAGTAAATGAACATACTTTCCAGAAGGCCAACAATTCACTAAAAAAAATTTTTTATTGGTCTTATGAAGTATTCTAATTTGTTGAGATAGTGAATTGGTGGGTTTTTGTTAAATGTGAGCCAAAATCATCACAATTAAAAGAACCAAAGACTTAAACTACTTCAGTCTGTGTGCATTGAATTTATTTAATACACGAGTTTCACAATTTGAGTTGAATTACTGAAATAAATGAACTTTTCCACGACATTCTAATTTATTGAGATGCACCTGTATACTTCAGCATGGATAATTCATGCGGTTTAGATATATTCTCACAAAACAAAGCTAGAAGGACACAGAGCCATCATCTCCTGAATGTTTATGTTAGACTACAATCAGACAGACATATTTCTTCAATAAAACTGATAATGTCTGTTTTGGACACATAAACAGGGGAAAGAATGAGTTGTTAGTACAGACTTGCATTTTTCTCTTATCACACACAGACACAGACACAGACACAAACACAAACACACACACACACTTTTTGACCTGAGCAGACAGATGTCAGCTGTCCACACCAACTACTGCCAACCAGACAGATGGGCACAATAGGATATAAGAGAAGATACTCACAGCTGTCCTCCTCTTCTGTGATGACACTGATGACGTAGCAGGCGTAGATGAAACCCAGCAGCTGAGGAGACAAACACAAACACATCAGTGTATCGACAGAGACAGACAGCACAACGAGCACAAAAGACAGACAGAGAGACATCAGACCCTTTCAGATCTTCTGAACCATCTTTTCTTCTTTCACTTTCGACTCATGTCTTCACCTACGACAATACATCATTATTCTGTAGCTAGATTTTTATATTTCTGCGATTGCCTGTGTAAAAATATCCTCTGTGATTCTAGGGTGTTGTGGGTGGTTGCTATGGTGTTCAGAATGCTTATCACATTGGTATTCCATTTACTTCATGTTTTGGGTGGTTACTTGGCCATTATTGGGTTGCTAGGGTGTTGCTATGCAGTTGGTAGGCATTCAGAGTCGTCTTACTGGTTACTAGGGTATTTTGAGAAATTGCTAAGGCATTGCTCTGTCGTTGCTAAGAGTCGATTTCAGCATTCTTTAATTTGGTTGCTAAGGTGTTCTGAGTGATTGCTAAAGCATTGCTATGTGGTTGCTAGGTGTCGTGAATGTTTTTAGCATGCTTTAATATGGTTGCTAGGATGTTCTGAGTAATTGCTATGGCATTGTTATGCAGTTGCTAGGTGTTCTGGGTGTTTTTTGTGTGCTGCATTATGGAGTTGCTAGGTGTTCTGAGTGATTGCTAGAGTGTTGCTATAGAGTTGCTAGGTGTTCTGAGTTATTTCTAGAGTGTTGCTCTAGAGTTGCTAGGTGTTCTGAGTGATTTCTAGAGTGTTGCTCTAGAGTTGCTAGGTATTCTGAGTGATTGCTAGGGCGTTCATATAGAGTTGCTACCTGTTCTGACTGATTTCTAAAGTGTTGCTCTAGAGTTGCTGGGTGTTCTGAGTGATTTCTATAGTGTTGCTCTAGAGTTTCTAGGTGTTCTGAGTGATTGCTAGAGTGTTGCTATAGAGTTGCTAGGTGTTTTGAGTGATTGCTAGGGCGTTGCTATAGAGTTGCTAGGTGTTCTGAGTGATTGCTAGAGTGTTGCTATAGAGTTGCTAGGTGTTTTGAGTGATTGCTAGGGCGTTGCTATAGAGTTGCTAGGTGTTCTGAGTGATTGTTAGTATTCTGACTATTTTGAATAGTAGTCTGTCATCTGGTGTTGTTCCCGCTAGTTTTAAGAATGCTGTTATTCAGTCCCTCCTTAAAAAAAATGGTTTAGATCCCTTTAACATGAGTAATTTTCACCCCATTTCGAAGCTGCCTTTTATATCTAAGATATTGGAAAAAATTGTGTTGGAGCAGTTAAATGTTTTTTTTAAAGAGAAATAATATCTTAGATAGATTCCAGTCTGGTTTTAGAGCCGGCCACAGTACAGAGTCTGCTCTTTTGAGGGTCTCCAATGATATCTTAAGAGGTGTTGACTCTGGGAGTTGTGTTGTTCTAATTTTGTTCAGAATCAGAATCAGAATCAGAATGAGCTTTATTGCCAGGTATGTTTACACATACGAGGAATTTGTTTTCGTGACAGAAGCATCCACAGTGTAACAGAATGACAGTGACAGAACAAAAAAACCCAGATACGATACAGAATTAATTTCAAAGCGTTGCTGTATGTTTATAAGGCTGTGCATGGTCTATTACCTGACTATGTTACTGATTTAATTAGTGTCTGTCAATCCAGCAGATCTCTGCGCTCAAATGACCAACTACTACTAATGGTTCCGCAATCTCGTCTAAAATGTAGAGGGGATTGTGCTTTCTCTGTGGCAGCTCCTAGGCTCTGGAATGCCCTTCCTCTGTCTATTAGAACTTCTCCAACGTTGGGTGTTTTTCAGAGTTCGCTTAAAACTAATTTGTTTTCTCTAGCTTTTGACAATGTTTTTTAGCTGTGTATGATATTTGTTGTTACTATTATTATTTATTTATTTTTCTTTTCTTTTCTTTTACTATTATTATTTTTCATTTGTTTTTATATTATTCTTATTCTTATTATTTTTTTCTCTTATCTTTCTCTGTACAGCACTTTGGCTCCAGTCGTGGTGTTGAAAGTGCTTTATAAATAAAGTTTGAGTTGAGTTGAGATTGTTAGGGTGTTGCTCTGGAGCTGTTAGGTATTGAGAGTGATTGTTAGGGTGTTGCTATGGAGTTGCTAGGTATTCTGAGTGTTTTTTAACATGTTGTTATAAGGTTGCTATGACACTCCTAGGTAGATGTAGGGTTTAGTGAGTGGTGAGTGGTCACTAGGGTGTTGTTATGCAGTTGTTAGGTGTTCTGGATCTTGTTTAGTGCACTGCTTTATGGTTTCTAGGGTATTCCGAGTAATTACTAGGGTGTTGCTTACTGGCCCGATTCCAAAGAGTCAAACCCTATGAAGGACAGATAATGTTTCCACAGGTTTACATGAGGTAAGAATCACAGGTTTGATCACTTGTAATAACACCTCTCCTCAAATTGCTTGTGATGTTCTTTATTTGTCATTTTTCAATAAAAGCATCCACTAAATGAATAAATGTAAATGCAAATGTAAATAATTTGAGGTATCATTCATGTGTGGGATTAGCTACTCACTAAAGTTTAATACTCAGCATTAGGGGTTTGTTGAAATCCCTAACCATACGTGTGTGCAGCAGGAATGGCAGGCACATCTAATATACCATTCATTATGAGAAACACATGGCCGATAATACATTACTCAAAGAGACATTAGAGAGAGTTTTACAAAGTCCTGTGCCAAGTGAACAGGGGACAGATATATGTGTGTGTGTGTGTGTGTGTGTAGATGACGGGCATATTGATGGGTATGGCAGTGCCACAGAGACAGATGGCACAGCACTGCATGAAAACACACACAGGGCAAACTCAAGTCCCAGAGAGTGGCACTATTCCAAACCAATTAATCTGTCTTTGGGCAAACTTCCCTCTGTACACCTACCCTGAAGAAAAAAAAATGAATGCAGTGTGTTTGCATATGAACGAGAGAGAGAGAGAGAGAAACGGATACTGACAAAAACTTAAATGCCTAAATGAGAGTCTATGAGGCCCGTGAGAGGCTGTGATAGAGCGGGTATGGGCTGAATGGCTGAATGCCACAGCGCAGGTGAGACACATATCTGCTGTGCAGGGCAAAGCGGTTCAGACCTCCAATCAGCTTCTATTACACTGAAGGAGTTGTGAAATACCAACTGCATCAGAGGAAATGCCAACAACCAGACTGCCGACTGCAGGGGAAAGCTGCCTTGATTACTATGTTGTATTAACCTTGAATCTGTTGCTCCAGGTTGCTGTGTGTGTGCTGTTTGTGGAGGTCATTTTAAGCCATTTAACTTTGACCTCAACAGACTTATAAAACCACGTTATCTTTGACATCACAACGTTTACAGTAGATAAATGTTCATTTAATATTTTATGTTTTAAAATAATTATTCTTACAAATGCTGCGTTTATTTGATCAAAAAAGGCAAAAATAAATTTTACTATAATTTAAAATAAGTGTTTTCAATTTGAATATATTTTAAAATAATTTATTCCTGTGATGCAATGCTGAATTTTAAGCATCATTACTTCAGTCTTCAGTGTCACATGATCCTTCAGAAATCATTCTAATATGCTGATTTACTGCTCAAGAAACATTTCTTATTACCATCAACATTGTAAACAGTTTTGCTGCTTAATATTTTTGTGGAAGCAATGATATATTTTTTCAGGATTCGACAACACTTTATTTTAAGGTGTCCTTGTTACACATGTTACATGTACTTACTATTATAATAACCATTAATTATGCATAATTACATGCAAGTAACCCTAAGCCAAAGCCAAATCCTAACTATATAGTAAGTACATGTAGTTAATTAATATTACTCAGTGCTTATATGTATAATTACACTGTAACAGTGTAACCCAGGATTCTTTAAAGAATATCAAGTTTAAAAGAACAGCATTTATTTGAAATAGAAATGATTTGTAACATTCTGTTTTTACTGTAACTTTTGATCAATTTAATGCATCGTTCCTCAATAAAAGTATTAATGTATTTCAAAAAATGACTCCCAAAATTTTAAAGGTACTGTATTTTTATTAATTTTATAAATATATATGTATTGATTTGTGTCAGGGCCCTGATAGTTTTCTATAGTGATAATAACTGGCTAACTTGATATTATCACTTGTTCCTTACAAGTACAGTGCAGACTGAATCAAACAGCAGAACAGGCTATTTATTATTCAGCTATAAATATTAAATCTTTTGTTGAAGAGCTCTTTTACTCTGAGATCATGAGACAAATGTAACCCAAATTTAATAAATTCAAAACTAATTCTCGCTCAGGGCATCTCAGGTGAAGTGAAGAAGACAGACGGAGCAGCTCTCCACCCGAGACTTGACTACTCTTAGCTCAGATCTACTGCATGACTTGATATCTCCTTAATTATGGTCATTAAAAAAACATAAGCTATTTAAAAGTCAAGCTCTTAAAGTTAGGACCCTCTGTTTCAGGCCTCCACAATCATCTTCTGCTGATTTTCATAGTTTCTTTCTACTCTCTGGTGAAGTGGTGCAAAGTGATGCAGATTTAACCTTTTCTCTCTCCTCTGAAATATAAAGCATCAGAGCTGGCAGAATCTGTTAACGGTATTTCGGCTGTGTTTCATGGACTGATCATTCAGGTCAAAGGGTAAAGCTGCCGTGGAGAGATGAGGCCTTCAAATCCCTCAGGGTGTTTCTCATGCCAGCTAATTCAGATTTCAATCTCTCAGTCTAGTCTTTATAATGCCTTTAATATGAATGGAATTATCTCCAAATTGTTTTTGTAATCACTGTGGAATCTGCCTGAAGAACTAATCCTTAAAACTCATTAATAAATGTAATACAAATGAAAATAAACTTGGTAAAATGTCTATGGCTGCAAATTTTTCATATTCTTACAAATGCTGCGTTTATTTGATCAAAAAAGGCAAAAATAAATTTTACTATAATTTAAAATAAGTGTTTTCAATTTGAATATATTTTAAAATAATTTATTCCTGTGATGCAATGCTGAATTTTAAGCATCATTAC